TAAAGACTTTTTTGGTAAAAAGAAGTAACTTTGAAAGAGAAACATTGTTTTTTTTAAATTTTTAATGCTTTCCCGCATCTATCGTTTTCCCGCATTCATCGTTTTTATTTCCCACCCCCGCCGAAAACGATGCATCGAGGTTTCACTGTAATTGTACTAGTGTGTAGAAGAAAATTTGAACAAGAACGCACAGCATAATTACTGACTCTTACAATATGTAATTATGTGCATCCATTAAATAATAAATTACAGTTCAGTAATTGCATGTAATGGAAAGTACGCCAAATATGAAGGCGACATTGCGGCACTAAAAATGACAGATGAATATTTTGTATATTATATAATTTTGTTGTGCAAAAATATATAAACTTTTTTAAATAACTTGATTTCATCTGAAATACTCACACTCCACCAATTGTGACTGTACAGCACACTTTCTCTGGGAAGTTGTCCTTAGCGATTTGTATGTAATCAACAACAACGTTCACCTTCTTGCCAATCAGCTTCTTCCGCAGAAACTCACGTGCTTCAAACATCCAAGGAATGTCATACAGAGGACGGAAACCCTTTGGACGTGGAGGTGGAGGTTCACTGGGCTTCTCTTCTGATGACCTGGTACAAACAAAATAATTAAAGCTATCCCATTATGGACTGTACTTGTGCGTGTAAAGTTTAGACCAGGATCATATATAATTACCATTGGGTTTTAAAGGGTTAATACTAAAGGTGTTCACTGTGTTACACTACAATAGTAAATAATACCAAAATGGTCTGTAGAAATATATAAAATCTCAATAGTTTAGGAAAAACCCAAGCAAAGAAAGGGGACTTCTGTTAGTCAAAATAACATACACATATACAGGGCAAGTCTAAATGATGTTCCCGATTTGAAACACATGAAATTCAGATGCACAAAATTGGTACCGATGGAAAGAGAAACTCTCCAAGTTTATGTTGGTATACTTCGCGACTGCGTAGTAACACTGTTTGCCGCCACGGGCGATATGAGAGAAAATGGCTGCCATTGAAGACAGGGGAGCCTTTTGTGTCCTGGATTTCCACGTTCACCGGACCTGACGCCCTGTGATTTTTTTCTGTGGGGGTTTGTCAAAGATAGAGTATTTGTGCCACCCTTACCACAGAACTTGCTTGATCTGCGAGCACGTATCACATCAGCCATTGCAGCAATCGATCATGATATGCTACAACATGTCTGGGAGGAACTCAACTACAGGCTGGATGTGTGCCAAGTTATCAAGGGGGTTCACATTGAACACCTGTGATGTACTGAAACAAAACTTGGAGAGTTTCTCTTTCCATTGGTATCAATTTTGTGCATCTGAATTTCATTAAACGTGAGTAGCATGTCTTTCAAATCGGGAACATCATTTAGACTTGCCCTGTATGTATCACAATAAGCAATTACGTGAAGACAAGCATAAATCCAATTTCTGAGATGGATTGTCAAGAGTACTTAGACTACCAAATGGTGCAATGACACAGTCTTTTGGTGAAACCAATGAACACCACAGTGGGGAAATTCAACTGTTCATACGAACCAAGCTTTAAGTAATCTTACTCCTATAGTATCATTCTAAACCACAGTGTCTTTCAAGACCAAGTTTTAATTTAGCAAGTGAAAACACTGACCTCTGTTCTCTTGGTGGTCGGATACTTGCTAGGAATATTTTCTTGACTGTTCCATCTGCTGCCTTAACCATGAGAGCATCTCCATTCACAACTTCAACCACCGTTGCTGTATATTCTTTCTCCTTGCCTGAAACCTGATCGAAGAGAAAAATTATTTTTGGAATGACAATTGTCAATGAACCACAGAAATGCAAAATCTTTCCATAATGGGCACAACACATTATGCATATACACACATTCACAAACACTTGCACAGATAGAATTCTGAAAAATTAGTTTTATTACAATGGCTGTTTTCTGGGTTCCGGTGCCTTGTAGTTTGATAGAAGTTAACCAACATTTCAGAGTTCCTTGCCACCTCCATCATCAGGGTGATGATGGAAGCAGCAAGGACCTCTGAGATGCAGATAAACTTCTACCAGACTACAAGGTGCTAAAACCCAGAAAACAGCCATCTTCATACTCACCACTGTGGAAACCTCAAATCATACAATTTTATTGCAGAAGTGCCCAAGCTTTGTACAATCCCAAATGAAAAAAATTATATTTCTAATTGAAATTTAACAATTCTAACCTGAGGACCAGCTCCTTGGTAGTCCTTCCATAGTCTGATTCTTCCTTCCTTTGCCAATTTTTCAGCTGCTCGAAGTTTGTCAGCACCACTCTTCATGAATGCCATAGACCAGTCAATGCATCGGGCAAATCCTTCCTTCAACAAGGCTTCTGCAATATTACCTTTCTGTAAAATAAGTAAATGAGCTTTACTGAGAGCCATACAGCTTCCAATTTTACAATTTTTCCTTTTCCATAGCTTTATATTAATCAGCAAACTGTTTTCTCTTTCCTTTCAAATATAATCTAATCAAATGTGTTCAAATCAATAAACAGCAGAGTAACAACGAATGAGTAAAAACTGAAACATCAAATTACAGATCCACAAGTGAATGAAAATTTGTTCCCCAATGACAGTGAATTTAATGTACTGATAACTTCATTTAGTCTGGCCCCAGTACTTTTAATTGCAGCCTATGTCCTAATTAAGAGAAACCTGTCCCTCGGTTATGTACGAAAGTAAACCAAGTGAATGCTCCAAGCACAACTGCAATCAGCTTACCTTATAATTAAACAGTCTGAATACAGAAATTCATTACTCTGTTTTTATATACGAGACTAAGCACAAATAATGTTATAGTTGTATTGTAACTATGGAAAAACAAAAGGAAAGTTTGAGAGAATTATAACTTTTACTACAATGTAGTAACCACACTGTTGTAGAAATAGTTGCGCATAATGCAGCGTAATGAGGAATTTGGGCAAGTGCAGATGCATGTAATGGAATATGCTTAGTGCAGAGGACATCAAAGGTTACATCCAGACAATACCCATGTTCGAATGTGTAAAGTACATTCTAAAAATAAATGACTGAAGGGAAATAACTGCTGAGCAAACTTTGCCAAGGCTACTGCACAGTTCATCTCGCTTTGTTCTGTGAATACGCAACACAAAACACACAACAGCCACGGCTTCAAGCAGGAAGTGACGAGCTGTTATATTTGATGTTGAAGTGGGAAAATGTTTGTCAGAGAATCCAAAGAAAGTGTCAGATTAAGAGTATGATAATGGCAATAAATTGAATGACTGTGCCCTTCTTTATGCTGTGGATGGCAACATTGAAGATGATGAAATTATTCAGGACTTTGTAAGGGAGGACATAAACAATTACAAAGGACAACAAAAAATTTAACAGGTAGTGTTTGTTGAATCTCAAGGCCCTGGAAAACAGGAGACAGAAATTGCAGATATTTTAAAGTCATCTTTCAACATAGAACATAGATGAAGTTGTTGAAGAGACCAACAGATATGCTGAGCGATCCCGAGGCAATAATAAATGATCAAGTAGGTCAACTATTAGGGAATAGAAACCTGTAACAGAGGGAGAATTTATGTTTTACTGGTCCTCTTTATGCTTGTGAGCATTGTTTAAAAATCTATCCTGAGATCATGCTTAACCACAAAAAGGGGTAATTTCCATACCTTAATTTGAAGACAACGTAACAAGAGGCAAACTAGAACTAATTTGCACTTCTTTGCATTTTGCTACCAACAAAACCTTCAATTCTCAAGGACCAAAAAGCTTTTAAGAATTTTCCCTGTAATTTCACACCTAAATAAAAAGTTTCAGGAATCATATTTACAAAATCAGAACATTTAAAGTGATGAATCATTGGCCTTCTGTCTTTTAAACAGTACTGCCCTTGCAAGGCAACAAAATCTGAGTTGTGCGGAAACTCGACTCCTCCTCGATCACATGTGACACTGATAAAACAACAGCCACTGCTCTAAAACTGGTAGAATATCTACTGAATCAGGGCCTGACTGTGAGGATGATTAATTTCTATAACTTTCCCTGAATAGCAAAACCATCTGAAGATTGTACACAAGACAGACTGTGTCAGCACACTAAAATGGAATGGATGACATATTCCCAAAAAAAAAAAACGAGGCACTTAACTGAAAAAGGTAAAATAACAGAATAGCACCCTGGTCCTACTTCCACCAGAAAACCATCAAAAAAGTCTTCAAAGAGTTAGATCTAGTTTCAAGTTTGTTCCTTATTCACAAGTATAGTATCACTTGCATGTTTTTTTACAAATGCCTATATTTTATTTCTAATCACCTAAGCTAATCTGGTTGAACAGTAAAGTTTGATACTGGAACCCATTACTGAATTCATTATTAATTTGCCAGGAAACAGGATTGCATGTTTGTGCGCTTCTGGCCTTACAGGTACATCAGCTTCTAAAACTCTCTATACATATCCACCATTTCAGGGAAGAGAGAGAGAGACAGTATAAATTATGGGTTGTTTCATTCTCAAAAACATTCAATTAGTGCCTAAACATCTTTAACTGACTGACTTTGTAATGAAAAAGCAGTATCGTTTAATAGGTCAAGAAGTTTACATATTATCAAGATGTCTTACAAAGAATAAAGTATTATTTATGACACTTCCGCCACTGAAATGAGCACAGCATAAAAAAAATTGCACCATCATTTTATGCATATTCCTTCACCTATAATTTACCACGCAAAAATTCCTACGCATACAAAGCACGATGTGTGAAAATAAAGTGCCTAGAATGCCTGCATGTCACATAAAGCAGCGAGCGAGCCATAACTAAGCAGCAGCATGTTACAACATACCTGTGGTTGCATCTTGGTTGTTGCCGAAGCAAATCAAGGTAACAGCAGTGAAGCAGTGGCAGAGTGACACAAGTGTTCTTTTTTTTTGTGCAAGCAGAAAAATGACTGACAGGTTAATGGGGCACTGCATACAACTCGGGGATACTTCTATCCTCTCCACAAAAACCAGCTACATGGATCGGATAATCAGGGAAGCCATCAAGATCGAATTACATCCCGATAACTTCAACAGGGAAGATTGACTTCACCTGAGCCGGTCCTGGAAGCCACTTATTCACACTCTTCGAGGACTCCGAGAGCGATCCAGAGTGCACCGCCAGAACCAACCAGACCACCTTCTTGGCTCTTTCCAGGGCCCCGATGTCCCACCCGACGCACTTCCCGAGCCCCCTCTCTCTTTTCCTTCTCTCCCTCTCTCACACACTCCTATTGGTCCACTCCCATGCCTGCTCCCATTGGCTCGGGGCAGGCTACTCCATTCACAGTCTGGCTCCTATAAACCTAGCCCCACACACCCTATTGGCATATTCATCACCCTGACGACGGAGGCAGTATGACCTATAAAACGTTGGTTAGCATCGACCAGACTACGCAGAGCAACAACCCAGAAGACAGAAATCTTCTTAACATATTAACAAAGTTTTGTGCAAAGTTAGGCAAAAGTACAAGTTAAACTCTGCAGATGTTAACAGAAATTTATGGAGTTGATGCTTTGAAAATTTCAATTGTTTTGGAGCGGCATAAAAGGTTTAAAGTTACCAAAAGAGGCGTGCATGTCGCAGGCCCAAGTGAAGACGATACTTATTTGTTTTTCAATCACAAGAGCACTGTTCCTTTGGAATTTGGTGAACAAGGTAGAACAGTGAACCAGCATTATTTGGAAATACTTGTAAGGATACACTGAAATTGTAACATCCACCATATTCACCAGATTTGGCCCCATGTGACGTTTGGCTATTGGAAGACACAGATTTTCAAATATCACCAAATTCAAGGTCATGCAATGCCCATCCTGAAGAGCATTCCAAAAATGTTCTGAGCTGTGGAAACACCGACTCACTACGTGGACAGGGTCACAAGGAGACTACTTCAAAGGTGACATCAACCACCAGTGTACAAATAATTAGAAACATCTTTTATGGAGGCATTACAGGAACTTAACTGTCACACCTCATACATAAAACATTCTTGTATATCATAAATAGGTACGAAGAATATTATGTCTTACATTTCCATCAATTTACAGTTTATCAACTATAGTTTGTATACCTTACTGCCTCAATTTAAATAAATAGATACTTGTCAAACCGTTATACATACTGGATGGATAATGCTCCCAACAAAGTTGTTGTTATTAACAGACTCCAAAAGAATCTCAACATCCCTCTGCAGTAGCCGAGACTCCACAAAAAACCTGGCTTCTTCTGCGTAAGGCACCTTTGCAGCTGGGTCTGGTTTTCCTTCGTTATCAAGTTTAAATCCTGGGCACTGGAGAACAAAAATGTTATTTCTGTACCAAGACAACAAAGTAAAGATTATGATTACAAGTGATAATTAAACTTACCTTAATGCCAGAAATCATGAGTGTGATGTGGTAAAAGTCTGGCAACAAGAACGCTCTCACAGTTGACCCATCTCGCACATGCTCAATGATAGCTTTTATAGGTTTCCCACCACACTTATCCACAAAATTGCGTGGATTGTCTATCGTCCATTTGATATCTCGTGTGTGTTCCTGAAGAAGACACGTGTGTTAAATAAACAAATATTTAATGTGCAATATGATCTTATGACTACATCAAAAACACAAAGGCCAGCTTCTATACAACACAACAAATGCCACGACTTCAAAGGAGTTTCTCACTTACGCTGGCGCTGACGCAACTATTAGCCTGTGACTGCTACTACTTGTAATACTAACACCGCTAATACCGCTGTTGATATTACTATTACTACCACACCTACTACTAAAAGCTTCAATCTTTAACTTTATATAACAATTCCTCAAATTACATTTAAAGGAGTAACGAACGGGAAAATACGACGAGTTTTCTTTTTCAGAACATCCAAGCAAATGTTAGAACAGCTATTGTGAACTTCATGAGAACATAAACTTTTTATACTGGTGCCATGAAAGTATGAAGAAGAGAAATATTGAGGTATTGACCCACACCTATACGATGACAGTAGTACTTCTGGACATATCGGAACAATCACTCCTACATCTAAGACCGATATGTACATCTGATAAAATTAAGAAAAGACAACACCTCGCCCAAAATTGAAAAACAAATGGCATGAAACATCACCAAATGGAATCATATTTGAGTTTTAAGTTCGTAAATATTTTACACCTGAAGATGGTTTTATAAAAACTGAAACATGTTGTGTAAAGGATGTTCCAAAATGTAAATCGATCAATCGATATGGAACATCAATGATATTTTATTATCTTAATTATAAGAAATTTTAAATATTGTGATAAGACGGTTTAAAATAAATAATTGGAAGAGAAATAATGGAAATTTTCTTGCTAGGTTTTCAAAGTTCATAGATAACCACATAATCATTAATTGTCTATTAAATTTTAAAATACTAGTACCTTCATATTTCACAGAATAACCATTTTAAAATAATTAAACTAAAACTTTGAACCCCACACACAAGTTGAACATAAATCTTGATTAAATCTGGAAACTTACTAAATCTTCGAGCAGAATCCATCTTGAGATACAGACAGTAATCTCAGCAGGTGAAAAAATTCCCTGCCTCTTACAGAACACAAAAGTTCACAGCCCACATCTTCCCGCATTATTCCCTAACATCCATTTTAATATTATTATTTTCCCATCTACACTGCCTTTTGAGTGGTTTCCTCCCGTCAAGATTTACCACCATAATTCTGTATGCACTTCTCACTTCCCCATTCACACCACATTCTCTGCCCATCTCACCCTTTCTTTGATCATACTACAAATTATGAAGTTTCCCACTACGCAAATTTTTCCAGCCTCTTCACACTTCATCCTTCTTATGTTAAAATAAATTTTCCCTGATCACAAAAATCTTCAATCTGACTTCCTTTGACAAGAGTTACCAACTTTCACACCTACACCGAATAGTTTTGTATCCAGCATGAGCGGATTTAATCCATAATACTATGAAGCTGCTGGCTGACTTCAACTCTACGGTTTAACCATTTGGTGACATGCTACTACGATACATGGCAAACTGGACAAAAAAGGTTACATAATTTAGTTCAGGTATGGTTGGTTTAGTTCGTGTTGATGATCATGACAAAGTGTGGAACTTGCTGAAGTACATGTTCAATTTATGAACTCTGGTATCACTTACAACATCAGAGTACATTACGTATGCTTTGGCTTGGTTAGTACAGACTTACCTTATGTTAGTGTTTACTTTAACACTCAGAGAAATGATGTGGATGATCAATATTCTATTTCATATGCTTGCCCTTTAATGTTATGTTCTTCCACTATAAAACTTGCAGAATAAAAGTTTCAAAATCAATTGCAATTTTCTAAATATTCAGTAATTGAACTGCTCTGTGGCATCTACTGTAAGGTAAATATTTTAATTATAAGAGCACACTCTACAAACAAACCACAATTAACATCATACAACTGAATATATTGAAATAATGCGTAAAATTACCTGGCTCCCTGTAACAGCCCACTTTCCCTTACCAGCTGCTTTAGCTGTTTCTTCCAATTCAATAAGGCGTTGCTGTTCAGGCCCTGAACGGGCCCCTTCACGGCGAACACTGGCCAAACCTTCTGATACCAGAGACTCCGTTACATTTTCTGCAGTAGCCATGTCTAAAGCAAATTAACAAAATCATGAGATGCAACTTGAATCTAAAATGACTTCAATCTGTAAACATACAAATTATGCAGTAATATCAGCTGTTTCTAATTACCCTTGCCCAGGTAGATGCAGCCATATTCTCGAGTTGCATTGGGAGGTTTTTCTGAAGTATACCAAACCTCTTCACCAATTAATTTCTTACGCAAGAACTCTCGTGCTTCCCATGCATATGGTTCATCTCTTGTTTCCTCAACACTGTTAAAACAATCATCAATATTACAAGTCGGTAAAATTTACGGATTCATATCTAAAATATATCTGTATGGCCTCTTAACAAATAGATAACAAAGTAAAACAGATTACTTGTTAACAGCACGACGACCCAACTTGGGTGCAATGATATTGGAGAGGCCAAGTGGCTTTTCTGGTGGTGGACCCCCTTTTGGTTGTGCTCTGATGATAACGGAGTCCCCGGACAGGACCTATAAAAGAGACGTAAATTAATTTGTCTTTTATATATGCATGATGACCATATGTGAATTTGCCCATGCAGCTGCCAACAGGGCAGAATCGTCTGCTTCTTAAAAATCATTAATCATTAATACAACAGGCTAAAACTGCTAAAATGTTAACATGTGTATGGATCATTTCTAAACACAATTTAGTAATATTAAACGGGTATACCTGTTTAACAATCCATCGATTTGGTTTTGGCTGTGGTGCACTCATACTGCTGGATCCATGCAATGTGCTAAAAAGATCGTGGTCACGTGACGTCACTCGCGTCTTACCTTCCGTTCAGGAGCAAAGGATTTTATATGGAGTACGAAATAAATTAAAAGGCACTCCGTAGTTCAACGTAAGATTTAAAGCACGACAAACAAAAAAATAATATTTGTTTCACTCAACCATGCTCCAACTGAGCCCTAGTTAATCGTGTTGCTGATGTGGCAGACGAAGAACCATCTAGTGTCTGGTACACGAAGCAAATGATATCCTGGGTCGGTGTACTTTGGCGGCCTCTCTAAAATAATTTATATAGATGTCAATGATTCGTGTCCAAAAGGTTTCTTGGATGAAACGTATTGTTTGATGGTGTCTATCCAGAAATGGATGCGTTATTTCATATTTCTTATTTTGGCCTTAGCTTAAACTTGTAGGCATACCAACAAATTTCCTGTGACATACTTTCAAGTTTAAGCAAGTCAGGTCATTGTGTCAGCCTCATGTTTTGAAGGGGCTGACTCTCGAGCTTGTTTTAAAATTGGCTACGGTCCAACCACGTTTTCACGTCACCACGCGGTGGCTATCGCTTCATCCTGCCGCCTTTCGACTAGGGCAAAATTGGCCTGGTATTAAATTGTACTTTCTTAGTTTGTGGATGTTGGCAAAGAAAAGGTGAGGTATCTGCATTTTCCCACCAAAGCGCTGTTTTGTGCTCCAATTAAAACTCTAGAAAAATTCTCTACTATAATAACCCAAGTATTTCATGTTATGAGTGCGGGAAAACTCGAGCAGCTAAAGAAAAGACAAATTTGGTGGCAGAACAACAGATCTTAAAGGAACTCAATTCAACCAAGGCCCGAGAAAGACATGGTGTCTTTTTACACTGATGCTACTGTATCTGGTGAAGTGATTAACGTATCTAACACTTCAAATCGTATTTCATACTATTATTAATTTTTCACGGGTCTATTATATCAAGTTGTTGTATTTCTTAAAAATCTCTTCCACACAAATATGTTACTTTGTCCATTATTAGTTAAAACCGATTTTTACTCCCACTTGTTACGATTTACGAACGAGAAAGACAGTGAGTGATCCTACCCACGAAACGTCCGTCGATCTTCATGTTACATCAGCTGGGCTGAAACCTGAACCGTTGCGTAATTATGATGGATGGAAAGCACGGATAAGCAAAGAAACAAGCAGATTAAATTTAAATGATTTTGATAACGACTGTTTTGTTTAAAGTTGCGGCGTGTAGTCTGGTAATGGTTTACTGATATTTCAGAGGTGGCGTGCTGCCTCCATCATTAGGAATCGCCCCTGAAGCTGTAGGCAGCACGCATATCCGAAATGTAGATGAACTTATGCCAGACCGCATGACACAACACCCCAGAGGGCAGTCAACTTCAAGCTTGCCACTGTCAGGACATCTCACGAAATTATTACCATTAACAAACTGAATCAGTGACATGAGAATGGTAGTAATCTCCTCATATTTAACATTATTTCGTGGCTTGTTGTTCGAAATGGCTCCCTGCACTGGCCACGCACAAACGAGCATGTTTTAACACATTTTATGATATGCTCTTGTATATGATAGAGATGTCATGCCATTTTTGCTTAAATTGCGAAAACTAACAAAAGTATTCTGCAAGCCAAAAATTTTGTAACCGATGTCTAAGAAAAATTCGCGTGTCTTCACTAAACCACGTGGAACATATTTATCTAACAGAAGTTCGTGTTTGCATGCATTTTTACACACACGAAAGAAATAATTTTTTTCAGATCTATAAAGATTAATATTTCAAACTTGCAGAATAATTACACACGTTCAACATTTTAAAAAAAAAACATTTCACTGTTTACTGTCCACACATCACGGGACAATTAATTCTGAACATGACCGCAAATTCTTATAGTTCTATAACAATGTTTTAGGTGGTAGACATACTTTTGAAAAACACTATACATCCTCCAGAGGCTTGTTACTGCACTTATTCTCTAAGTGCTGTCCATGAAGTCCCTTGCTGCACTTAGCACATATAGTTTTTTATATTTCTTCCATTTATCACGTTTTCTCCTCTTGTTGGACTCACAAAACCCCTTCTCCTTTCTCCCTGGCTATTTTCTTTGGTATCCCAAACCATCTTCTGCATGACCAAATGCAACAGATTTTTTTCTAGTCAATTTTAAATCTATTCCTCAAAAAATGTGCCCAATTTGTGCACGGCTGTAGCCAAAGGTGCACCTTGCAAAAATTTTATCCATAAAAATGAGGGAACTTTCTGACAGGTAATTTCTGATTTTTAACAACCGTATACAAAACCAAATCATTGTGTAAGATTTGATGTTTTCACATCGGTGAGTATGAAGATTTCTGTCTTCTGGGTTGTTGCGCTGTGTAGTCCGGTCGATGTTTACCAACGTTTCAGAGGTCATACTGCCTCCGTCATCAGGGCGATTCATGGTAAACATCGACCAGACTACACAGCGCAACAGCCCAGATATCTTCAGATCATTGTATTTCAGCCCCGACTTCTTGAGCCTAGGCAGTTTGCAGAAAACACCAGTAATGGAATACTGTGTCACACAACATCCATAGCTTTGCTTCCCAAAGATTGCGTTTGGAAAATATTGTAATAGCTTGAGTTGGTTCCAAATGCGATTTAATCAACGCTCAGCTGTTGGTGTGGAATTTAAGTGTCCTTGAATGAACGCGGGGCGTGCCACGGTCTGTGAAGCTAATGGAATTGAACGCTAACTTGGGCTGACTGTTATTGTTTCTTATCCCTTCTAACCAGCCAATTTATTCAAAGCATCACCTTCACTATTGCTCCACAGTTCTTCACTTTTCGCCATACTGGGAACGACCCGTTCTTCAATTGCCTTGATCTAAGAGACATTTTGGTAGGACTCCTTGGATGAGGGTTCGGCCCGTCGCAAGGCCTCTTACCTGTACACAGGACAGCACAACACAGAAAAACACGGACATTCATGGCTTGAGATGGATTCGAACCCACGGTCCCAGTGACCAAAGCCCACGCCTCAGATTGAGCGGCCACTTCGCCATTATTTTATCTATATCCTCATCTCTTTTCCAGCGATTTTGAAGAAAGTAAACCTAGAGAAACAATATTTAAATACTCACATCACACAGCCACCATTCAATCAGCTGCCACGAATACTTTACTGTACTTCCCATTCACAGATATTCCATACGTCTATTGAGGAAAAATCGTAAGCGATCGATATCGAACTTCGATGCAAGTTGAAAGTGTCTGTGATTCACTAGTCTTTTTTCCTACCGCCCTCTCCAGCATGAAATGGGAATTACACGCACGCAATAACGGTGGATCGGCCGATGGCATTCCGTTTCTTCGCAGTTATTCTACATGGCAGCAGCACCGTCTTTTATGTGCCGAAAGAGTTCATTTGATATCTGCAAATTCTCCTGATGCACCATTTCATACATGCATCTCAACAAGTGATAAGGGGACCAGGCATGTGGACCTCCACGACCAATTTCCACAGCACTAATTCAAATATTGAGCAGCTTGTGGACCGAAAAGCGGTGGAGACCCATCGATTTGCAGACATATATTTAATTTGGTCTGAAGATGAAGGTCTTCCTATAGAAAATGCAGTAATAAAAGTCTGGATTCAAATGACCCGCAAGAACAAATGGTTCAATTACTTGTTACCTAATTTGCTGGAAAGGGCATGTAGAAGTTACAAATGGCTCATTGTTGCCAATTTGAATACTCAATTCATATTAATCTAGTGATAAATGATTGCCGTTAGATATTTTAAAGACGTGTGGATGACCCTTGATAAACAGCTGACCTAGGCGGCACATACCAACCAGGTCGGATGAAAGGCAGCTCAAAGATTGGGCTTGCATGGCTCCGTCCTTGATAGAAGGGCAACGATCTGTCCATCAAAAATGGTGTGCTAATGCTGGAAACCAAGTGTCTTTGCATACCGTGTATGATGCATTGATACATTTCTGCATTTCATGGTAATGAAAAATGATAATTTACTTCAGAAGTTGAAAGGACTGGATGCACACACACAGCATGGTGACCTCACAAGTCTACATCCCTTTCCCTAAAAAATGGGTTAGAATTAGAAGAAATCAGGAAATGTAAGCACAGCATAACAATTCTGGTATGTTGCCAGGATTTGACCCATGTGAATAGCACCAGTGATTACTATAGGTGCCTGGAGTCACACTAATTTTGTACAATTTTACTATGGGCTGCATGACCTGGGTTCAATTCCTGACAAGGCAGTTTTCTCTTCACCCCCACCACACTGTCGAGACTGGCTCCAGCGTCACCCAGCCTCCTACCCACAGTTTTTCCTCAGAGACAAGGTAATGACATGAGGCTGACCATTCACCTCCTACCAGTGCCGAGCTAGAGCTTCACTCCTCCATATATCTGCATCGCAGGATCCTTAGTAAAGCACAGTGACAGCTTTACCTTTATTATGTCGTTTCAGACTGTAATGGTGATTTAGATTTACCACCATTCCACCTGAAAATCAGTTTTACAAAAACGACGTGTCTGGCATTTGAGAAGTACCATTTCTCACATACTTGTACAAACTTTCTGTTAGTAAATATAGTTACAGAAACTTTACTTATTGAAATATGTAACACTGTCAATGCCAATTTCACTGATTTACTTAATGACACATTTTAAAAATTTGTATATGTACGCGACACTAGCAGTAAGCACCTTTTAATGCAGTCAGTACAATGTAAGCAAATAGAAAGAACTAACGGAAAAACTATTTACATTCATTAATGTACATGACATATCATTACCACTTCCCACATAAACGTGTCTAGATGAGAAGAATGTTAACAAGAAATATGAATCTGTACCACTAAATGGGAAAACTATATTTCTTTGTTCCTTATTGGATTAAAGTCAGTTGTAAAACATCATCTCGGGAAAGAACACAATACAGTGAGGTACCTACACAGCAGAATGTATCAATCTCCACAAATTAAAGAAATCTCATTTAAAAGGCCTGCATCCTCAATAATCCTCTCCTTCATATTCATTATTGTAATTTCTTCCATTAGTTTCACTTTCCTCCTCTCCCTCCTGGTATCTGTCATCATCTCGTTCGTACTTAACGGTGGTATCATCATAATTTCCCTCCTCATAATTTGTTGCAGCATAATCAGGATAATCTGTAACAAAACATTTTAGAGTATGGCGTGACAAACGACCATGTTACTACGATCACACAAAAGTACTAGACATTAATGCACCCGTGGAAAGTTCACAGACCTGCAGTCCATAGAAACAACAAACAAGAAACTATCACAGCAACCTGCATGACAAAGTTTTCCTCGATTCACAATTCAAAACACAAATTTAGTGTATTCCGAGAATAATTAAGTCCAAAATAAAGAAATCAGGAACACAATACTGTCGCCACAGATGTTTAGAAAAAAAGCTATGAAATGTACGCACAGAATAATTCTGGTGCATTCTCCTTTGACTCTGGACCTTTAAAAATGGTGCCAGAGCCATCAGAGGCCAATGACCTTGGCATGGACAGGGTGTCTAATGCATGTCTGACCAGGTAATAATATCACCATGGAGAATTAACCCAATAGGCCCATTGTAAGATTTGACACGTATATTACACCAATATATCAACACAGTTATATTTTCTTGGTCTTCAAACTTGTCATTTTGATCCGTGTTCATTTGACTTGGAACAACAAGGTAGGCAGATGATTCCGAAAGCGATCTGCACAAAAGTGAACATGATATTTGGGGCAGGATACACACACAACAGTGACATGGCTGGTGGTGACAGAAAAATAACTTACCATCTGGTGGTTCTTGCTTGATTCTGATTTCTTTCTCTTCTGAACGCTCAAACTCACGATCTCTGCGATCCTTCACATCCCTACAAAATAAAATCAAGGTTTTTACATGTGGTAACTAAAATAAGCAACTATTAAAGCAGAATGTATGAGATGTTGTCACAACAAATACCTTTCTCCTCTATCACGTTCTCTGTCTCTTCTATCCCTTTTACGGTCTCTGTCACCACGCTCACGTTCTCTGTCTCTTTCTCTGGAACGGCTACGCCTTCGCTTACGTTCGCGGTCTCTTTCCCGATCGCGCTCCCTATCCCTGTCACGAACTCGGTCACGATCATCTCGTTCAACTTCTTCAATGTCCGGATCCTTCTCCTTAACACGTTCACGGCTGCGACGACGTTTTCTGTCCCTCGAACGACTAAAAGAAACCAGATTAATTTACAAATTTGCCAGCTGACTACATGAGGACCAAACAATGAATGTCTGAATACAGGTAATTCACATATAAATACTTTAGACAGCCTACAAATTATGACACACACGGCTGTAATACCTTCTGGATTTCCTGCGCTTCTCTCTATCAACCCTCTCCCTCTCCCTGCTTCGAGTGCGCCTTCTTTCCCTGTCAGGCCGCTCTCTCTCTACACGATCCCTGTCAGGATTGCCACCACCACGGGCAGATTCACGCTCTCTTTCCAATCTATATCGTTCTCTTTCCCGTTCATTGTCTTCACGTCCCGAATGTTTGATGTTCACATCAGGGCCTCCTCGTCGAGTACCACCCAAACCACCACCTTAAAACACACACAAAAAAATATATGATTTATTATTCAGGTTTAGGAATAGTGCAACCTTCTGTACTAATGCGAAGCTTCTGCAATTTTATAGTCAACTTACCAAGACGTCTTGGAAGCCAGCCTTTAACAGTACGTGCTCTCTCAACGTCTACCAACACACGTCGGCCGTCGATCTTCTTACCATCAGCATGCTTGTAGGCAGCTGTAATACGTGAGTAATGATGAGAAGAAACAGAAATCACAACACTTCTACTCTTAATCTTACCATTCCATCCTTACCTGTATCAGTTCTTATAACACAATTTAACAAACATGTAACAGCCACATTTAAGGAATGATTGGTAAGGTGCACGTGTGTGTGTGTGTACATGCACATACACGTACATACTGCTAGCAGTTAATGAACCAAAAGAGAACTGTAACCTTCTGTGATTAACTTCCATGGTTAAAAGTCTCCTGACTGGGCACTCCTGAAAACTGCCATTTTCTGCACAGGATGATGGTAATGGCAGCTAGAATACAAGAGGACATGGTAGGAGACGTCATGGAAGGAAAAACAGAAAAGTCATACGAATTAGAATCTAGTTTGTATAACAAATAATACTTTCATCATTACCTGTGCAATACCCACCCATATTTCTTCCATTCAGTTGGTCACAAATATCGTATTTATAACAGGGATATAATTCCACATCATTGCACACGAAAATTTGAATGGGCAATTTACTTTCACAATAGCTCACATTTCAAGTAGTGTGCCCACTGAGATATTTAATGAGAAACTGGTTACATATCCTTTGATATCATGCAAGATTAAAGAGGCTACACACTGCAGTTGTGAACATAATAACCAGTACCGTGTATACCTACCAATCTTTACTTACGGGACATGAAAAGTGCAAATCTGTGAGGTGGTATTTCTAGATGAGTTTCTCGCGCAACAGATGAACCAAACGAACAGATGGACGGATTCCTCCTTTGTTTTATTTACCTGGTGCGCCATTTACTTACGTAACCACGCGCAAATCAGCTCAAACCCACCCTTTATATATGAGAATCTTAAACTATACCACCAAGCATTCATACATAATGTAATATTGGGCTGCCCTATTTACTACGGCAGTGTTTCTCAAACTGCATTCCATGGAAGCCTGGGATTCTATTAATTAGTCACATTCCCTACAACAGCTGACATTATCATTTACTGCCAAGCTCTTGCAGTAATTAACATTTAAACGCACAAACAAGGTTGGGAGAATTATAAATTTTATAAAACTGAGACCACTGAATTTAGGAATTTTCAGTGAGGTGCAAGATGAAATAGGTAGCAGTTCTACTTATCTACTGGTGCACGCAGAGGATTGACGTTATCATAAGGCAGAATTTCGGTTCATGTATTCGCGGTGCACTCGGAAACGTTGATATTCAACAGTGACCAAGCCTTCAAAGCTTTCGTCACAGCTGCGTGAATCCAGAGGTTAGCGCACCCAGGGGATATTTATACAAAAATATATGAACTAAACTTCTCATCCAAAGACATGGGTATCTCAATTATCTCTGCACATGAAAAACTGAGACTTTCTTATGCACAAAACAATTTTGGGGGGCAAGCATTGAAAAAAATATCAAGACACTGTTTTTCAACACTGAATTATTTTCTGAATGAATATGAGTTAGATAAAAGATGATCTTTCAGACATAATGAAATATTTAAGAGATCTTTAAGTTACAGCGGAAAAGTATTTTCCACCTGTGATCAAAAGTTTTCACAGGTTACAAAACACATTTATGTTCCCTCTCATGCAAAGATCAACAAAACAGTATGGAGAATTAATGAAAATTTCAAGAGACAGAGGTCTGCAAGGTGTTCATATAAACACGCAAATTCCTCTCAAAAATTTTTGTTCTCGCATGAACACACTTAAAGCACAGCTGTGAAGAAGCTACCTCCATTCTGATCAAGATACCTTCGTGAAATAGCATCTTCAATATACGCAGCAACAAAAATTAAATATCAAAATGGGCTTAATGCAAAGCGTAACAAAAGAAAGCAGCTGGTGGCGAGCAAACACGTCCACCGGTCAAATTAGGTCGGTACGACACAAACTGTTTCCAAGTTCCTTTTTCGAGGGTGCTGCAGCACTAGAAGTTTGAGAACCAATGCAGTAGGGAAATTCCAAAAACATGACGGTATGAATGCCAAAACTGGACAAGAACTAAATGAATCTTATTAAAGGGAGTGAACACAACTGTAGGCAGCCCTGCTAAATTTTTATATGCACAACAGTATGCATTCTCACACATTCATCTAGTTTAGTCACGGCCCATAACTGATTCACTGTCAAAAATAAGAAGATGTTACACAATGAGAAGACAGTAGTTTGTCTGATGCAAGAGAAGTCTGAATTTCCTCACCATTAAATCAAGTGTAATGTCATTCAACTACAAGAGTTATGCATTAAAAATATATATTATGCTCCACCTCCCACACATTTAATGGAAACCCAATTCCTGTAATTTATATATTCTTAAAAAAAAAATCAAATGATTTTCCTCTCTTCATTAGGTCAGTGGAACAGAAAATGTAACATTTGCAACATACAAAGCTCATGCCCTCCTGCATCAGTCATATTTATGTTTCGTTTCACTTCAGATTTGGGAATATTAAAGGGTTTAAATATTTATTATCTGCCCTCTACCTTACCCCTCAACACAGCTTGCAAACCAATGTGTAGTTGCACATTTTGTGCCAAAGCTACAAAAATGGAGACAGAGAACACTGTTAA